TTCCATTTACTAAAGTGATATGCTTCCATTTTCAAGTAAATTTACATCAAAAAGTGAGTCAATTTAAAGAAAAGTATTAAGTAAATAATGCTATTAAGTATATAATTAGTATGGTATGTAGAAATGGCAAAATCCATCAAGATCTTTCTATAGTGCCTGAAGTTCAGAAAACCTTGCTTTAAAGTCTAGTTACCACATACATGAATTAAAAGCTGCTATTTTATAAACTACCCAGTTAGTAAGTTTGTGACCAGGAGAACTCTTCCCTCAGATTAATGTTAAGGAACATGAATAAGAATCACATTTTAAGAACCATATATTAAATCACTCATTTTCCAGATGGACAAACTGCAGTCCAAGGAGTACAACTAACTTGTCTGAGATCACAGGCAAGTCCATATCTCTAGAATACTGGTTCAGAGCACTTCTCTTATATTGAAACAGGAAATAATAAAGGAGCTGTGGTTTCTCTTATGTATAGACTTTAGGCAATCATGGTAAAACCAATTCCAAAATAACGTATACTTTACTTAAATTTTGAACATCAAACTATAAGTACTTGATTCAGAAAGAGCAGAAGAGCTGTCTAGCTTATTTATACCAACTGTTCTTTGAAGACTTGTGCCCATCCATTTCAGGGGGGGTAATGAGGACAGAGCCCTCATAGGAAGCCACCTACTAGGTATATTAGAAGGACTGAGGAGATGTAATTTTTCTGGCTTAGAGATTTTGAAAATTTGTTATTTCATTTTTATCTTTTTTTACACCTGTATCCAGGCAACAGAATGAGTTATCAGCTCATCTGAAGTTATGACCAAAACCTCCAGCTTACCCACAGTTCTGGCTGGCATTCCTGGCCCATTCACTTCCCCGTGCTTCTAAGAGTTACTTTACACACACTGCTAATTCCTACAGACTTCCAACATCCCTTCCCCTCTCTCAGCTCTTCACTGGGAAAGTGGAAGCTATTGGAAGAGTATGGCCTCATTTTCCCAAAACCAAAGTTAGCAACCTATATGCATTTACCCCCATTCAGTCCAGACTCTAAACTCCAGATTACAGATTTTTGTCTTGTTTTGATTACTGCTTTATCCTCAGAACCTAAAACAATGCCTTGCAAATAGGTGTGCAATAAATATTTGAATAATAAAAACACTGCCTTCCCTGTTGACATGGACAATGAATTACCCTTGTGCCCATGAGACTAAGACCTACTGAGTCCTAGATCCCACTCTTCCTTGCCCACCTATTCAGATGTCACTCCTGCAATAATCCCTTCCCCTGCCCAGCATTCATTTGTCCCCTTCTAACGGAATATTCCAATCAGCATATAATCATGCTGTCTCTTTAAAAAAGTTAAAATCCTCTTGTAGCTCACCTCCCCTCAGCTACAACCCACTTCTGTTCCCTTTTACATCAAAGGTTGAGTTGTCTATAGTTGCTGTCTCTTCTGCTCAAAATCTTCTCTAACCAGGTCTTCATCCCCCAAACTTGCAGCTTCTTAAACTCAACAATACTCCCAACCCAATGATTAAATTCTCAGTGCTCAATGTATTTGAACAGCGCTTGGATAGTTGATGACTCCCTTCTTAAAAAATTCTCTTCTCTTTGTTTTTGGTTTATCTGAGAGCTCTCAGAAGGATCCTTTGCTGGCTCCTCCCCCTTTTAAATGTTGGAGTACCACAGGGCAGACCCCTCCCTCTCCTGGATCTACTTGGTATCTACTCAAAATATGGGTCCCTAAACGAGCAGCATCAGCATCAATGAGGAGCTTGTTACAAATGCGGGATCTCAAGCCCCACAGCAGACCTGCTAAATCAGAATTAGCATTTTTACAAAATGAGGTGACTCATATTCATACTCAAATTTGAGAAGCACTGCAGTCACATGACTCCAAACTCCATTTATAGACTGACTTCCCAAATGGTTATCTCTGGTCCCCTCCCCTAACTTCAATTATATACAGGGCTCCATGCTGGATTCCACTAGAAATCTATTAGGCATCCCAAATCTAAGTGTAAAACAGAAATCTTAATTTTTTCCTCAAGCCAAAAACCTAAGAGTCACTCTTGTCACCTGTTTGCCTTCCAATCTCTGGGCCACGGTCCTGTTGGCTGTACCTTTAAAACATGGATGGAATCCTACTACTAGACACCACTTCTGCTCTACCATCCTAGCCTAAGCCACCAACATTTTTGATGCAAAACTCAAGTCTCCTAAATCTCCCTATTTTCACCTAGACTCCCTATGATAAATTTTGCACACAGTATCCAGAGGGAACTTTAAAGAATATAAATCAGACCATGTCTCAAAAGCCTTCAATGGCTTCCCAAATTTCCTGCCATGGCTTCCAAGAGCTTACATTTTCTAGCTCCTTCCACACTGCTCTAATGCTCTGCTTTAGTCAAATTAACAAGCTTATTTTACTCCTTCCTCTCCCAAATCTTTGCCTGCCTTACTTCCTTATTTTGGTTCTCAGCTCTAAGATTACTTCCTTAGAAGTAATCACCATAATTAAAAGACTCACCTCCCTTTCCATTCATTTTCCTTCTCTTTACTCTGCTTTACTTTCATTTTAGCACTTCAACAGTTACCTGACATAATATATACCTCACTCTCCCACCAGAATGTATAGACCATGAGCAGAGACATTTCCTTCTTTTTATACCGCAACTGCTTAAAACGGTATCAGTATGTGGCATGTAAAATGCACTCAAGTATTGAGTATTCAAGTGGTGGTGGTGGAACTGTTGGAGGCAAGGGACACATTCTCATGTATCAGCATTTATATATGCTTCAGAGTTACACAAATCTGGATGTAGAGAATCCAACAGCCGTTTTCAATAGGTTGAAATTTTCAAAATGTGGCAGTGGTTCCAAATGTTTTCTGTACATTAGAATGGGGATCTTTAAAAAGTTCTAATGTTTAAGCCAAATTCCAAATGAATTAGGTCACAATTGCCAGAGATGGGGCACAGGTGTCAGTATTTTTTTGAAGCTCCTGCGGTAATAACAATGTGAGACAAGTTTGGGAACCACTGGTATATACAATGACTTGGTAACCATGATGTGAGATAGTATATGAGATCAAGAACACTTAACAAAAGAAATCCCAATCATAATGTTATGCAAATTTAAGACTTCTATTTCCTATGTGGTATACAAAACAAAATTCATAAAAATAAAACTGTTTCAAATATCAGGTCTTAAAGAGAGCACATCTTCCAGGATTTTCCAAGTTTGTTTTCCTGTCAAGATTAATCCAAATTATAGCACTTCCATGAGGAAGTTTATTTTTTTCTTCCACATGCTGAGACAAATTTACGCAGGAAAACATGGTGACTTCTATATAAGTCACATCTGAAGGCTTTTGGGGGCTTTGCACATACTGACATTTTTAATGCTGTCAGGTAAACAGCTCAATTCTGGTAACAAGGCTGTAATCAGTAAAACAAAATGCTATATTCTCAAGAGAAAAAAGGATTTCTTTACAACTCAACTAAGTGACAATAAAATACATTAATCATGCTGCCTAATATTTCTCGCTGAATAATATAATCAAATGGCTCTAGCCATCAATCAAAATACCCTTAAAACAGAAGCTAATCAAATATTGTGCCTTTACCCATCTCTAAGCTCACCTTTAAACTTTAGAATGGACAAAATTAATGAAAGATAAAAAAGTTATTTCACTATTAAAATCCTCATTATAGAGTTCAAAAGAAACTTGGAGATATAGTTAAGCCAACCCATTTTACAAGTAAATGATCTGACACCCAGGCAAGGTGAAATGACATGCCTATAAATCACACAGGAGAGTTAGCAGAGAAAAAAACATTTTTTCCCCCGAACAAGCAGGCAGGATTTTTCACGTTAATCAAAAAGAATAAAGATCATCAAATTAGGAAGAAATGAGGAATAAAAAATATGTTACACATAGATTTAAAGGAAGAGTCAATCTGCTGCCCCCTCAAACCAAAAATTTCTCCAAATGTATGGACATATATCAAGATGCTTGCCCTTAAAATATTAGAATCTTGGAAAATTCAATTTACAAATATATTATTAATTGCATTGTTATAATGAAATTAGTTAATTGAATGTGAAAACATCAAACAGCACCAATACCAGAAAGTTAAGAAGGTAAATACACTATTATTTAAAATAATGTATAATCACCGATTGGGACAGAAATGAACTATAGCCATTAGCAAAACTATTTCAAACAATTGTTTGACATAAAGGCAATATTTAAAGACTAGTATATGCTCTTTTCCCACTGATAGGCCTGTGGCTAAGCATCCGAGCAGTGGGTCACATAGAAAATTGTATTAATTGATGCATTTTTTAAACTGTTCAACCTTGAACCATAATATTACATAAGCCAAATTTTGCCAATATAAGCCAATGGCAGCATTTTTGGTATCCTAACTATTCCTACCTGTCCCAATTACAACAAAACAAAACACAAAACAACTTCATTATTAAGCATTAAAGTAAATGTATCTATGAAGTAGCAGCAAGGCATTTACAAACGGGCTACTGACTATCAAAATGCTACTAAGGAAAATACAGCAGCAAATACTCTAATAAGAGCACATTATTCCACATGGAATCCCAACTTACTGAATTCTTATCTCTAGTTCCTTAAATTCCTGGAAGACTAGAGATGAACAAATGTATATATAAATAGGGCCAGGGAAAAAGATGCTCTAAATGGTGTAGTGTTCATTTTTTAAATTACCCAAGATAATTTGATACTCACAGAGAAATCCAACCATATCTAAAATTTTTTAAGCACATAAAACTAAAACGCTAGCAAAACTTTTATATTTACCCAAAAAACAGCATCGCAGTTTTAAGTGAAAATGAAATAGGCATGGTTTGTGAAGGTTTTATAATGTTCACATCATCCTCTCCCTGTTCCTTTCATCAGGTGATCTGAAGACTACCTGGTTTAAAATATTTGGTAATTCAGTGCAGAAAATTAAGGTCACAGACAAAGTACAACAACTTTTAATACACCATTAATACTAATGATTAAAAATTATTGCATAGTCTTATGCATTTACCCTAAAACATTTTCTGAAAGTAAACGAATTATATAAAAGACAAGTAACCCTTTAAAATGTGGATGGCCTTTACTACCTTGATCTTCTATCCTTTTTTGTCTTTTCAGTACTTTTGTCCATTGTTTTCTCATTATCTCCCCTGCACTTTGGGCAATACCATTTCCCCTTTGGTTTATAAGTAAGTGAAACACATGAAAAATGAAACCATTCAATAGGACACTGTTCATTGTCACATCCTATCATTTCCCCATAAGACACTTGGTTACACAAACAGTAGGTAGGTTCATTGGGATCTATTGCAAACTCAACAGGTGAAGCTTCCCTTTCCTGCTTGGCCTTCGAGCGTTTCTTTTTCTTGGCTGACTTGGATTTCTTTTCTTTAGGTGGCTGATCATCACAGTCTTCAATTCCATTTGTTATGTGACATAAATCACGACTTTCACTGGTTCGCTGTCTGCGGGGTCTTCTTGAAGATCTTTCTGGTTGGCTGGAATCCATCTTTGCTTTATCTGAGGCTCGTTCACTTTCAGTAGGATCTTGAAAACACTGTGAATGTAATTCCATTTGTCTTGCCCGATTTTCCACCAATTCAAGCATTTGTGTGACAATCTGAATTTTTTCATCTCCCAATTCTTGACTATTGATTAATGCTCTCTGTAGGTGCTGCTGTAGGCGTTTCTTCTGGTTTGAATCATCTTCTTTCTTATATTTTTCATAGACATCATCAATTTCCTTTAATGTTTCTAAAATAGAAGAAAAGTGAGAATGTTATCATGTGTTAGCACATATAACATTCTCAACGTAGTTATTTTTCACAGAATTGATGAAATCAGAACTTAAACCACGAAACTACATTCCTCTATAGTATGTATACATTAAAAACATTATTTTCCATACAGAGACCACATTGTCCAATGGAAGTATACTTAGAAATAAACTAATGAAGGGCCAGCCCGGTGGCACACTGCTACAGTGCGCCGCTTGGGAGCGGTGGCGCTCCCGCCGAGGGTTCGGATCCCACATACAGACCGGTTCCCACTCACTGGCTAAGCGAGGTGCGGGCGCAACACCGAGGTTTGCGATCCTGTTGCCGGTCCCGGTCCGGTACGGGCGCGACACTGAGGGTTGCGATCCGTTGCCGGACACGAAAAAGAAAAAAAAAAAAAAAAAAAGAAATAAACTGATGAAAAGAAAGAACACAAAACTCTAATACTCATTAATCTGTATTAAAAACATAAGAGATCCCACATACAGACCGGTTCCCACTCACTGGCTAAGCGAGGTGCGGGCGCAACACCGAGGTTTGCGATCCTGTTGCCGGTCCCGGTCCGGTACGGGCGCGACACTGAGGGTTGCGATCCGTTGCCGGACACGAAAAAGAAAAAAAAAAAAAAAAAAAAAGAAATAAACTAATGAAAAGAAAGAACACAAAACTCTAATACTCATTAATCTGTATTAAAAACATAAGAGATGTGTGGCCAATTAATTACCAAAAGTATTTTGCATGCACAGGTACACTGTATGCCACTTTAGAGTCTACTGCATACTTCATTTGAACCTGAAAACAACCCTGTATATAAAATTTACATGCTGGACTCCAACTGTAAATCTTGAAGAGGTTCCAGGGATAGGTTACAGATTCTGCTCAACTATGTTTACAGGATTTGCAGTTCAGTCAATGACTTGCTACGTAACGCCGGAGAGACACCATACCTTCACTTTCACATCATACCCCTGGACATTCTTAACAAAGCACACATAAGCAACTCTTAGCTTCTCATCATCTTAGTTTCAGGGGCTCTTTTATTTTAGCATCACATGGGAAATTCAAAAAATCAAATTATTTCCAGGGTAGGTTCTGGTTCTAGCATCAACTGACCAAGCCACTAACAAAATTACAGTCAAGTCAGCATTGGATCACTCTGCCTTTGTAGACAACTCAGCAGTTGGTTCTAAGCTTTTTGAACTGCTGATTTAGTTGTATAACATGTGGGACACTTATTTAAATCAAACAAAAATGGCTGAGTCACTAGATGGGGCAAAAATCTGAAAATATAGTTGCAGATGTCAACAAAAATTTACTTAAGATTAGTTTTCTTCAAATCTTTTTCTGTTTCTTAGCCTTATGAAATATAATGCTATCTGAAATAGTTCCGTCCTACTAAAGGTGGAGAAACAAAAACTAGCTCTAACTTATCATACTACATGGCATACTACTGTTTTACTCCAATATTATTACTTTGAAGATAAGAACAGAAATGCTAGACAAATTAAATATACACATTGGGGCTATATACAATTAAGGTAACACGAAGCCAATATTCAACACAACTCTTATCAATTAGCTCTTCCCTGGAAATTGCAGATACTAACAATTTTGATGGACAAATGTTTAACCTGGGATACATGACAAAGTGCTACCACACAGTTGAGGGTACTCAGACCTGCATAGCATATTTTTGAACAAAGTTCATATCTATCCCACTTGTTCAGCTAGGCATCTAAGTGAATTTCTTAAGAATCTAATTTTCCTACAGGAAAAATAAGGAAATTAGATATTTTCCCCTTAGACACAAAAAATCTGAAGATTAAAAAAAAAGGATAAAATTCATTTCAAATATTTTGTATCTACTAATCAAGAGTTAGATGTTAATTACATTATAATATTATACCATCACGTTGATACTATACATGAGATAAAAATTCTCATTTTTAAGACACCTCAATTATGTAGTGAATGAAGAAAGGAAATTAACATTTACTCAGCCCCTTCTGTGTAGTACAGATTTTCTCATTTAATCCTACAGCAACCCCATGAAGAAGCTACCACTTCTACATGTGGAGAACAAGAGGTGAAAACCTCAGACTTTGAACTCTGCCAGATCTATGTCTAACCCCAAGGTTTAAGAACTTTCTATAAGCCATATGAAAGGCACTTGATATTAAGTATTAAATTTTAGTTCAAAGGCTGTTATTTACCTAAGAAATTATGAATGAGAATACTGGAACAAAAATAAAGGTTCTTTAATAAGCATGTCCCATAATAAATACTTCATTCAATTCTGAAATTGTTTTCTTATTTCTCTATTTTATAAGTTTTTCAGACATTTCTGAAAATGTCTCAAATTGGTGGGAGAGAAATTTTTCATTGCCTATATAATTTATCTCACTAAATATTGCTATAAGTATTAGATCCAAAAGCAGAAAACACTTAAGAACTAGCAAAGAAATAAAAAACATATAAAATTTTAACCAAGAACACAAAAGTATATAAAGCTAATAAATAAACAGCCTTGTAACACCACAGTCAAGTGTTTGGTTCCCCATACAAGCCAGCCGCCAACAAAAAAAAAAAAAAGAAAAGAAAAAGCTAATAAACGTAAAAAACTGTGAAAGCTGAGCTTAGTAACCATGTACATAGAATAAAAACTAGATCGCTATTTCTATACTCATCTCAAAATTCATCACAATCTTAATGGAATTGAGGATTTTTATAATCTCTTACTATTGTAAGGCCTATTATATTACTCATGTTACCAGAGCTACTTATCACAATTGGAGACGATCAGATAGCAGATTTCCCTGTCAACAAATTATAGTGTACCTCAACCTGGAAGAGCTTACTTGACTTTTGTGAAAGCAAATATGTGCTTTTAAAGACATGTAAAAACCAGCAAGCTTTACAAATTTCAGTTATTATTTGAAAAACTAAGCATGTTCAATATACAATTGTTATGCACATATATATCATTTTCAGGTTACCATTCACATATGTGCTCCATGTCTGCAGAAAATACTACTGGACAGCTCTTACTTTTAAAAAAGCTTTAAATAGTTTTAAAACAAGGATATGTACCTGAAGTAGCAGGCTTTGGAGTGAAATATTCTCCATCTAATTAACTGGACAAGTTACCTAAACTCTTTGCAAATTTTAATTTATAGAGAATGAGTTTTTATTTCATATAATGTGTGGACCTGGCACAGTGACTGGCATACAGTAAGCAATCAGTATTAATTCTCTTCCCCCAACAGAGATTAGTCCTATCAATCATATGGATTCAGAAAACAGAAATAATTTTATAAATTCAAAAACATAAAGACACTTAAATGTTCTAACATGCTACAGGCCAGCAAATGTCACCCCGGAAGTGGATTCCTTGGAGACTAAATCATAAGATTAGTGACGTGTCTAGAAAAACAGAAAATGAGTCCAAGAAGTTATCTTTAAAGTCCGTACGGCTGTTTTCACATTATGTCCAAGGTCTGTTCCTTGATTCAGGGTTGTTAAACGTAAAACATCTCCTCGTTTAAACTTCACCCCTCCAAATAGCAAGCGAAAAGTTCGCCAATAGCGGATGATAAGCGACACTCTGTAAGAAACTTTGATTCTCTGTCCTAGCTTCTTGGGTCTGACCACAAAGGGTGGTATTCGCCTCATCACTTAAACTTGGCGGGAGGGACTCAGGGGTGAAGGGACGCCAGGCGGTTGCCCAGTCAACCAACCCACTTCCTCCTGGGGCCCGGAAGTGACACATGTCCCGGAACCTACGCGGGCCAGGGTCAGCGACGGTCCCAGCAACTGTGTCCCCGTCTTGATTCATTGGTTGGAAAAAAGAGTCGAAACATCACAACAAACATGTCGCAAACCCCAACACTGACTCTGCGAGAGCCGAACTAACGCCCAGCATCGCCTCGACTCCCTTCCCAGCAGCCAGCTCAGCCTAAGCCCCTTCAGCCACCAGCCATTTTCGAGGGCGGCGGGAGCGCGCGTGTCCGCGCCCCCCCCAGACCCTACGTCATGCCCGCGGCCCCGCCCCCAGGACGGGGGGGGGGAATCCTCCCGGCCACACACACCCCCCTCTCCTCCTTTCCCCGGCGGGGGACCCCTCCTCTTTTAACCATTTGGCTGAAAGAACTAGGAAGAGGCTGTGGCTGGGGCGGCCCGGAACTTTCCCCGGGGCAGGAGAGGGAAACCGACCGCTCTTTACCCGAGACGGGAGCAGGAGCGCAGAGGGAGGGACCTCCGGGATCAGCCTTCGCGGCCCTCTCTCGCCCCCTCCCCCCGGCACGTTCCAATGGATCTGCTCTCAGTGGGTGGGGGCCGAGGGGGGCCACTGGGGAGAGCCAGGCCCCGCAGACTAGCGGGAGCCGGGCCGCGGCCGGCCACTCACTCCCTGCAGGCCCCCCGCCTGGCTGCACGCTCCCTCGCAGGGGCAGGAGGATCTGCCGCACGAGCAAGGCAAGCGCCCGAACAAATGCTTGCTGCTTAAAATGGCTGATTCCCCTCCACAGCAGCTGCAGCCTCTGGTTTGCAGCGGGGGCTGACGAACGACCCCACCCCCACCCCCGAGACCCCACAGAAGTCCCCGCCGACCTCAGCGGGGGAAAGAAGGGCCGCGAACCTGGTCTCCGGTCCCTCTTCCGCGTCCCACACACCAGAGCCCCTCTGTGCACTCGGGGAGACTGTCACAGGAGAAAGGGAAAGTGGCACTTCCCCGGGCAGGCTCCGAGAGACCGCGTCCCGAGGCCGGAGGATCCGGGCGGGGTGAGGACACGCGCAGGCAGCCCCGCGGCCCCTACCTTGATATTTGTTGTCCAGCTCTCGCAGCACAGACACGTTCCTCTGCATGTCGTGGGGCAGCGACTCCACGCACTCGAGGTAGTCCTGCACGTAGCAGGTGAGGAGCCGGCTCCGCTCTCCAGTCAGGAGCGTGGCCGACGAGTACAGTTGCTGCTGCTGCCCTAACATCCTGCCGCCGCTGCTGCTCCTCGCCGCCGCCGCCGCCGCCGCCTCCGCATCCAGCAGCCACACATGTAACAGCCAAGGCCGCCGCGGCCCCTCCGCTCAGCAGCCCGGTGCCGCGGGGACACGAGCAGCCGCTCAAGAGGGCACAGCCGAGTCCCCCGATCTCCACTCCCCCCAAAAGAAGCCCTCACTCCCCGCCCCCGCGGTAACAAGCCCAGGGGCGGGGCGAGATCAGGGCTCCCTCCTTTTTCTCCTCCCTCCACAGGACTAGAGCAGCGGGGATCCCCTCAGCGGAGCTGGCGCCGGGGTCCCGGGCGTTGACACTTCCTGTCCCCCACAGAGTCCCCAGATGCTACCAATGCCGTCTCGTAGCTCGGATCCCCATGACAAGCCCCTAGCTGCCTCTTTTCTCCCAATCACCCTCCGTTCCTGTCGGAGAGTCTCTCACTGGATCGCCCCCGCCCCTCCGCCTGCGGCCCCTCTGCGCCTGCGCAGGACTCACTCCTAATAAGGCCAGGGGCCCGCCCCTACCGCCCTACCGAAGGGTTCGCATTCTCCCGCCTTCCCTGGGCCACCCGTGCGATTGGCCTGTCAACTCTTGGCTGGCGGGGAGGGCGCGGAGGGCGGCCAAACGGCAGGCTGCGCCCCGCCTCCTCTTAAAGAGAAAGCACTGACAAGCCCGCCCCTTCTCCCAACGCGTGAACGGGACCTGAGAGGAAAGGTTGGCGGTCTCTCCCTTCCGTCCTTCCCACAGGCAGGGGGAACCTCGGCCCAGCTTCTTCGGCCCGCTGTTAGCGACGTTTTCCCCATTTGGTGGATACAGCGCGGCCCCTCGCGAGGCTTAAAAGAAGCAGCAGGCGGCCACTTTTCGCAATGTCCTGGAGTGAGGCCTGCGGGAACTACGCGACCCAGCGTGCAGCGGGGCCGGCTCCCGGCATGCGCGGCGGCTGTGTTCCCGCCCGGCTGTCGCAGCTCGCAGGGCCGTCGCCTCTGCGCTCCCTCGGTCTGTGTCCCTCCTCCCGCTGCGGCCTTCGGGCTCACCGAGCACCGGGGGGCTGACCGGGGAAGTAGGCGGTGCTCCCTTCAGCGTTTTCTTTATCTTTTAGTCGGTTCGGCTTTTAAATCTCGCTCCTGTCCTTAGTGTTTCCGTCCTTCCTCGGACGCCGGAGGGCTCTCGGCGCCGGGGTAGCTTGCAGGTTTTGTCCCCACTTCCCCTCCTTCGGAATCTCCTGTTTTGTTTAGGGGAAGGGGATGCAAGGCCGCCTTGACCCCGCAAGTGTGTTTGTCCCAGACAACCCCTTAAAAAAAAGAAACCGCTTTCGAAGGTCAGAACGTTTAAGCATTAAATGTCGGCGAGGGCTTCCTCGGGGAGTGAGGGGGCACACTTACCACCTTTACATGTCTTTTTACTCAGTTTTACTTAGGGACGAACAACCGGAGATGGCAGTGAAAACTCGTCAGCAGTCACGGAGAGGGGAGTAAAAAATAGTCAGGCCCACGGCCTTGGCCTTATCTGTGTAATTAATCGACTATCAGGGTTTAATTTCAGTGCAGTGTAAATGAAATGCCCGGCAGAGAGCTGATTATAATTACAGATGGACTTTAAGTATGTATAATAACGTGTGTTTTTGAAAGAAACGGGTGTAAATAGAACGAATACACAGATAATTTTAATGGAATGCCTGTGTAAACAAACCCTATTGTGAGTAGTACCTTTGAGTTAAAAAGAAAATGTGAGTAGGTGATAAATTTGGGTTTTCTTATATCCAGTTGGCAGCGGTAGTACACCTTTGGTGACCCATTTAGAACACTTTTGAAACAGCGGTTAATAGTAAGCAGCCATCGACATGAAAAGAGAAATCTAGATCCAAGTAAAGCGCTCCAGGGAATTCGATGTCTTGGGAACAACAACAGTACTGCAGAGGACTGGGAGATTGTCTTATGTTATCCGGTGACACGTTGAAGTTTAGACCACTCGATTACTGAGGCACTCAAGCAGTACAAGTGTATTGTACTTCTGAGAATCATTTGGGGATTTTATTTTAAGACAACAGTCTTTAGATCTTTAAGATTCAGCGGCCAGGTCTTGTCAAAAACCAGTCACTGTTAAGAATTGAATTTTATTGGTTTTTACCTGACCCTTACAATTTTTGTTTCCTCCCAAATTTGAATCAGCTGTCCTTTATCAAAGGCACAAAATAATTCAAGATGCCTTGTTATTTATTGATTCATGTTAGACACCAAATGCACCTATGAATTTTATTCAGCCTGATAAGTGATCTGCAGGCAGATATGACCTGTAGTTAGAAACTAGAAGTGAGAATAGGCAATGATACAGAATACCTACAGTACTCCTTCCAGAAACCTAGAGCGATATGAGAGGAAGGAAGGATGAGGATGGGATAGGAGACCTTTTATGGCATTGTTTTCACCTTTTATAATTCTTTTGAACAAGCCACGGAAGCAAAAAATTCAAATAATGGTATTTTAGCTGACAGTGGTCTAAACCTGTAAAGCATTCTAATATGATAATGTACTCATATGTGTGTACCAATTATTTCAGACATGTGTTTGTCTTGCTATATTTATTTATAAATATGGCTTATTCCTGTCATACCTGGTGCAAGCAGCCTGTGTAGGAAGAGTACTTACCTGGAAAAAAAAATCAACATTTTCCCTAAACCCAGCTTTCATCCTTGGTTATTTATCACTGTCTTTCTCAGAAGTCACTTAACTGGAAATTTGGGACTCTTCAAATTGCATTTTCTGACTCTCCTAAAAGCAAAATTTAAAAGTCCCCAGTTCTATGCAACATAGAAATTAATTAGTGATATTTAATCCTGTGGATGAAGCAAAAAGGCATCTTATTTGCTTCAGTGTATTTTCTACCTTAAAGCAACCCTAAAAAAAAAGATAAATAACTGATGCCCCCAAATTAGTATCCGGGATTACCTTTAATTTCTAAATTTTTTTTTTTTTTTTTTTTTTTTTTGAGGCCGGCTCAGGCAGTGAGCGGTGACCAGCCATCCCCATATAGGATCCGAACCCGCGGCGGGAGCGCTGCTGCGCTCCCAGCACCGCACTCTCCCGAGTGCGCCGCGGGCTCGGCCCTAAATCTTACTTGAAGAGGTCCCTGGCAGGAAATGTTTATGTCCCCAAACCTGTCTCTTGTATCCCTTATTTATTCTGTGAGAGGAGAGCAAGAACTTCAAACTGATTGAAAACAAACTAACAAGTATCTGTTACTTGAAGAGGTCCCTGGCAGGAAATGTTTATGTCCCCAAACCTGTCTCTTGTATCTCTTATTTATTCTGTGAGAGGAGAGCAAGAACTTCAAACTGATTGAAAACAAACTAACAAGTAGTTCGAAAGATTCCTAAAGATACCTCCTCAGAGAATTTAGCTTCTACTTGAGTCAGGCCAATTAAATTTGAAATCCTTTTTTTCTACTTTTTTTAAACTTTTTATTTTAGAAACTTTCAAACAAACGTAAAAGTAGTGGTAATAGTACAATAAATCTTATATACCATTCACTCAGCTTTAACATTAATCAACATGGCTAAGATTACTTATTCTATAATCCTACAAACTCCCTTACTCTTGTTTTATTATAATTTTATCTGTAAATACTTTAAATAAGAACAGATAAGAGATAACAAATTTTTAGAAATATACGTGATACCATTATCTTACCCCCCAAATTTTCTTACTATCATTTAATATCCACTCAATTCAAATTTTCAAGTTTCTCCATTGTCTCATTATATCTGTTTATATTTGGTTTGTTTAACAGGATCCAAACAAGTCACACACATTTCATTTGGTAAGTGAGGTCTTTTCTAAATCAGTAAGAGGGAGTTAATTCCCCATTTAATTCAGTGAAGCAGTTAGCATGTGTTTCTAAGGAAGATACTTGAGCGGTTGAAAATCACTGTTATAGATATGTGGAATTTGTCATATTAAAAGGTCATCAATTGATAGCCCATTGTAGAAATGTAATGGTAGATAATGCAAATTAAAAAATCATAAACAATGCGGGAGTTTGTATTAGAGTGTAAATTGTTATGGAAGGTCCTATGAAGCATTTTAAATTACACTGAAAAAACCCAAAACTTTACATGAATTTATTAGTTCAAAAGGCAACTTTAAAAAATACTGATTAATAGACTGCATCTCCACTGAGCTCAGTTTTAAAGCATTTTTACTGCTTTATTACATCAGTAGTACACACTAGTTGTAGAAAAAAATAAAAATAGAGATAAAAAGGAGATATGTAAAAATCACTGCAAACTGGAGATAACTCTTCTCAGTATGTAAGTATACCTGCTTATGAAGATGTAATAACATTTTGGTAGTTTTTTGCTTTAAGAAAACACTAGGACTAAATGACAAAGTTAAGAAAATAGCAGGCTCTCTAGATGGAATTCTAGAAATCTGAGCAATGCCAGCCTGTACATGTAGTTTATGTGATAGACAGCACAGATTTAAAATCGGTGTATAAAATCAATCCTACTACTTTGGGTGAAAGTTCTGTTCAGCATTGAGGATGATACTAACAGCAAAAAATGATCCTAAAACATTTTAATGAAGCGACTGTGAATGACAGACAGTAGACAAGAGGAAATTCAGTATAATAAAATATATTCACATAACTAAGAAAAAAAGCAAACATATTATCCCCTTGGTTATACTAGAGAGAAGAAAATAACACATATGGTATACTTTGCATATTGCTGACCAGAAAAACATTCAATTTTCCCTGGATGGTTGCCATAGTTACATGAGCTGTTTATAACATCAAGAAGGGGAACTAGGTCACAGTAGTGAAGGAGTTTGAATTATGCAATTATGTTTCCTGAAAAGGGTAAACTGTTTAAAGTTTAGGGAAGAGAGATTTATACTCTATGATAAAAATTAAAAATTCTGGTCTAATTTTATTGATGAAACTTAAAAATTTGTCCAAAATTAAATAGTTGATATAGTAGACATAAATTATTCAGCCAATACAGGTAATGCAATAGCTAAATCTGTAAATATGATAAAAGAGATGCCAACACATTCTATCCTTGCAGTTGCTCCTTTTTCTTAGTTGGCTATCTTACCTTAACATGTTTTTGCAGGCAATCAATAAGCCCAACAATTGCCTAGAATCTGGGAATAGACAAACCATGTGTAAACTGAAGCTTTGACCTCTTAGCTTCTTTGAAAACTTGAGATGAAGCTTGGCGCAATGC